TATTCCCTTCTACTTTTTTTTTTTAATTAGAAAAAATGTTCATTTTTGAGAGAGAGTGAGAGAGCATGAGTGGGGGAGGGGCAGAGAGAGAGGGAGACAGAATCTGAAGCAGGTTCCAGGCTCTGAGCTGTCAGCACAGAGCCCAACACGGGGCTCAAACTCATGAACCGTGAGATCATGACCTGGGCCGAAGTCAGACACTCAACCAACTGAGCCACTCAGGTGCCCCTCCCCTTCAACTTCTTATGCTAACCACAAACCCAGCTGCCCCTAAGGACAGTGTACCCCAGATGCATTTCAAGTGGGGACTGTTCTCCTCTCCCCCAATCCACTCTCCATGACACCTGAAGGTCTACAGGGTCTTCCTCTCTCTATTGGTCCATCTACACAACTGTTCCTCCAAACTCCCTAAAACCTCTGGCTCCCTTGAGGCTTCTGTCATTATATTCTGCTGTCTGTGAATTGCCCCCTCCCTGTTGCAGTGTGATTTGCCCTCATTCCTTGAAAAGTCCATCTTCTGGCACACTCTCTCTTTGAAGGCAGGGACTGTTTGGCACAGAGTAGGTGCTCAATAAATATGTACTGAATGAAATTAGATTTTGTGGGTAAGCTTAGGAGCGCCTAGATGACACAGTTGGTTAAGCGTCTGTGTGACCAACTCTGGATCTCAGCTCGCGTCATGATCTCACAGTTTGTGAGTTCGAGTCCCACATCGGGCTCTGCATTGATGGCACAGAGCCTGCTTGGGATTCTGTCTCTCCTCTCTGCCCCTTCCCTGCTTGTGCTCTCTTTCTCAAAATAAATAAACTAAAACAATTTAAAAAATAAGAAAGAAAGAAAGTAAGAAAGAAAGAAAGAAAGAAAGAAAGAAAGAAAGAAAGAAAGAAAATGGATGCTTAGAGGAATGATAGGGCCAGGATCTGAACAAATGTAGAAACTTACACTGCTCTCTGCTTACGTATCCCCTCCATCACCCCCAGCAAGAAGCAATCGATCTGATGGGTTAGTTTTAAGAACACCCACTGGGAATCACCAATGTTTGAAAGCTCAGTGGAAGACTGGACATTTTTTTCCTTAAGTTTATTACTTTTTTAGTAATCTCTATCCCCATTGTGGGGCCCACACTCATGAACCTGAAACCAAGGGTCGCATGCTTTTTTGACTGAGCCAGCCGGGTGCCCCAAGCCTAGACATTTTTTATGACGTTAAGGGATTATTCATTTTTTTAAAGGTGTGATAGCGGTATTGCAATACTTTTCAAAAAGCTCTTCTCTTTTAGAGAAAGTTACTGAAATATTCAAGGCTGAAATAATACAATATCAGAGACTTGTTTCCAAATAATCAGCGAGGAGGGGTGCATGAGGGGATAAACGGATGAAACACTGGCTATGTGCTGATAATTGAGGGATGTGGGTGACAGGTACTTGACAATTCGTTATTCTCTGTATTTATGAACACGTTTGACAGTGTCCATAATGAAAAAGCAAACAAAAAGGTGGGCTCTGGGGTGTAGCTCTCTTGAACCAGGAAATCCCTCCTCATTCTCCCTTCTATCAGACGGCATGGGAGCTTACCAGAACTATCTGCACTGTGTTGTCTATAGTATCTATGGGCTGGGGCAGAATTCTGGTGGTCCTGGGTCCCCAGCCTCAGCAGAACCCCGAATTCTGGAGGCAGCTGTCTTTCTGACAGCCCTTTTTGTCTTCATCTCTGGCTCCCCATCCTTCAGTCAGTCATTAAACACCAGTGCTGCCCCAACCGCCCACACTTCTACCCTGTCGGCTCCCTGGGCGATTCCATCCATGCTGGCTTTGTATCTGAACAGGCAGCTGTGACCACAACTCACAAAAGGACGTTTCCAGACCGGGTCTCTCTGCTGGGTGGCACGGACCTCTGTGAGCCTGTGTAAGCCTCGGGCAAGCTGCTGCTCTGTCCCTCTCCTCCTCCTCGTCCACGCTCCCCGGGAGCACGTCCTATGCACCATGCCTGCCTCTCTGTCCTCTCTGCACCGCCTCTACTCACCACTCAGCTAGCAGTCTAGCTCCTGGTCACCGGCCTTGGAAGCTGCTCTCCCCACCGTCCACGGGGCCCCCTCACTGGTGCAGCCACTGGCTATTTCCCAGTACTCATCTTGCTGGACTTCTCGACAGCACCCGACGTGGCAGACAGTCCATGAACGCTGCTCCCTTGGTATCCGTGACCCTGCACCTTCCTATCGCTTCTGTCCTTTCACTTTTCTCCCCTCTGAACTCCTTTGACGCGCCTTGCACATCCCCCAACATGCAATCCTTGCTCCACTGGCCTCCACAGCCCGCACACTCCCGCTGGGCCTAGAGAATGGGCCCGTGGGCCGAGTGGAGGGGAAGCAGTGGTGGGGCCAGGGTGTTGCCTGGTTCACTTGCCTACTGGAGACACTAAAGGTGACGGCAGGGACCCTGAGCCCAGGCACCAGCATTTCCAGTGCATCCTCGTCTAGGACCTTGGGAGGTAACAGTGAGAAGCAGGGGTAAAACATTAATATTGGTAATACTGGTGGACCTTTATGTGTGCTTACTATGTGCTAGGCCTTTTTTTTTTTTTTTTTAAGCATCACCACGTCTAATCTTCCCCCAAGGCAGTAGGTGCTGTCATTACCCTTTATATTGGTAAGGAAAGGAAAGCACAGAGCCAGGCTCTGAACCCAGGCCATTTGATGTCATGGCTTGACCTCCTCAGTGCCCTGCATGAAGGGGGTGCGGCAGACGCCAGGAGCCTCAAGCCAGCCTGTTTCACAGGGCTGGGCGGGGGCGGTTGGGCCTGAAAACGGAGATCTGGCGCACCGAAGAAAGGGAACAGTCTCCACCAGAGGGCTTTTCAGGGAAGGTGCTGTCCCTTCTACCCTCTTCCCGTACCGAGGCAAGCCCAGGCCCTGCGGATTTAAAATTCTGTTTCTTTCTCTGTCTTCTCACTGACACTGAAAAGTTCCTGGTCAGGGGTGTTCATCTCTTGCCTAGACTGCTGTGACAGCCTCCCAGCTAGTTCTGTCTCCACCTAGTGCCCCTCATTTTTTTTTTTTCCATTACTTATTCAAATTCAAGTGAGTTAACATATAGTGTAGTATTGATTGGTTTCAGGAGCAGAACAGTGATCGTCACTTACATATAACACCCAATGCGCATCCCAACAAATGCCCTCCTTAGTGCCCATCACCCATTTAGCCATCCCCCCACCCACCTCCCCCAAAGCAACCCTCAGTTTGCTCTCTGTACTGAAGTCTGTGCCCCTGTATTTCATGCTGCAGGCGCAGTGGCCTACTATGCACTAATCTACAGCCTAAAATCCTTCCATGGCTCCTTCTGGCCTTCAGAGTAGAGTCCAAGCTCCTCACCATGGCACAGAAAGTCCTGAGTGACCTGGCTACTGCCCGTGTCTACAGCC